TAACGCTCGTCCGTGTGACTCGCTTGACCCTCGACTGCATATTCGGTTCTTTCCATTTTTTCTTCCGATTTACAGTCTTCAACACAGCTAGTATCGGATGTTCGAAAAGAGTGGGTAGGTATGTGTACGCTGACATTGGCGTCAATCTCATTGTGCGTAATTTTATGCGGGCCCGGATGAACATTTTATCACAAATGCATCCAATGAAATTGATACCATCACATTGACACTCAACAATGAATCTAAGGAACCACACTATGATGACGACATCCATATATACCCAAAAAGCAGCTTATATTCAGCTTTCTGAGACGTATTGAAGCAAAGCTCATTCGCGACACTTTCGTGAAAACGCGCCATACTCCTTAAAATTTCTAGTAAAAGTCCGTTCGCTTGCTGACACATCTGCCGACAATATTGTTTACTAGAGCGTCCGCTAGCAAAATAGGGCTTACTTGAACTTCTAGCTTACAATTAATCATATTAGGTTTGGTATATAATCGGACTACCACACTTGAAAGAAGCTCCTACTTATATTACCCATCAGACTGGATAGGTAGTTTCAATATATCCAAATACATTTCGACATTTGAATCAGTATCGACAAGAAAGCATCGCACCAAGGAAACTCCCGTTTATTTCATTCAAATAGCATTCCGATAGAACGAATATAAATTCTATAAATAATGTTTTCCCTCAAATGTACTATTCAAATATCCCACACATGCAGAAAAGCTGTTCTCACACTTTATTTCAAAATATTTCTCAGTTCTTAGCAACTGCTACTCCTTATTCAAGCCCGTATGATCTAGACTCTTGATGTCTATTTGATCAATACCAGCAGCTTGAAGCATTTCTTTAAGGGACTTTCTAGTGCAGCGGCTAATCGTTCGTCGGCGCCCCTCCGGGGTGCCACTCACGACTAGCCGCTGCTATGTTTCGTTCTATTTCTCCACAGCACCATCCTTTTTTATTTACACTTCATCTAAACCCAAACTCGGCTTAATTTGAAAAACCATTAGATCTATAGCATGAGAATTCTCAACGGGGATTTCTAAACCAAAGCTTCGTCGTGAACTATTTCTGATTTCTTCAATTTCATTCTGCAGCTGAAAAATCTGAGTATTATCGAAATACTTCATTAAGAAAATATTAGTGCAGTTTTCTCAAAAAACTCTGTTTCTACATTAAAAAAAATTTTTTTCAAAAAAAATGTTTTTTTGACCCCCACAAAAAAAAATTTTTTCAAAAAAGTTTCAGGTGTTTTCAGAAAGATTTATTTTTTCACAAAAAGTCTGTTTCTGCATTAAAAAAAAATTTTCGCAAAAAAATGTTGTTTTGACCTCCCACAGAAAAAAAATTTCAGGTGTTTTCGAAAAAATTAATTTTTTCAGAAAAAGTCTGTTTCTGCATTAAAGGAAAATTTTCGAAAAAAAATTTTTTTTTGACCTGCCACAAACAGACAGACAAACGCATTTTAGTTTTTTTCATATGACCCTCCCTACAGTCGAGGGAATAAAAATATTTTTTGATGCATTTCTTTTATCATATGAAAAATACTTTTGCTATAATGAACTGTCAAATATGTCTGCTATATATATAGTGTATTTTATAAAAAAAATACTTTTGTTGTGAAATGTTCTTTGTAACTAGAATAAAGACTGTTTTTTTTTATTGTGTTAGTCCTGAAAAAGCGAAAGAAATATCTAGGAACAACCAATGATCATAAACAAAGACGTTTATGAAAACTATCCTCCAGAATAGCAAAAAAATCACTTTTCTTAGGGACATATTAGAAGACCCGCTTTACGAGTTGCGAGCGACAGGAAAGATTAGAAGACCCCGGGTCTTCTAATGTGTCAATGGCTTTAGTATAAATATGACATCTAACTTATTATGTTGAAAAAAAATCGAAAAAATTATTTGTCATGTTACTTTTGGGCCACCCTGTATATGCAACCATCCAGCATATTCTAGCAAATACAAATTTTTGTTCTTTGATTTTATGATAGATTTAATATCACTGCAATGACTAGAAGGATTTTATTTTTTGAACAAAAAATACAATAAGATAATTTACAACATATAAAAAAAACAAAATATTGAGATTGCACAAAAAATGACTGACAAAAACATACAATGATCACAATAAAAGTAATCTTATAGATTTAAATATGCTCATGATGATGATGATGATGATGTGAATGTGAGTGCGAATGTAAATGCTGACATTCACCTTCACATGACTTAAATTGAACTCGTTGACGAATAAATAATTGTGCATTCTTCGATGAATGAACAATACCATTTGCTGGTGTTGTAGATAATAAAGCCGTTGCTGCAGATATTGATTCATCAGATAGATGTTTTCCTGACTGATATTCATCATTGTCATCCAATCTAAATAATAAAAAACAAATGTTCAAAAGAATACGGATGTAAAACATAACAAACGCGTACTTCCAATCAGAATGTGTCACAACACCAATACCAACAAGACACATGCCAATAAAAATAACCAAACAAAAAACAACTGTAAAATTAACTAAAGGTTTCTGTTAAATAGAAATGAATCATTAAATCATGAAGAATAAAAAGAGATCTATCTTACACGATATGTTGGTAATTCAAAATATTTATTGGCTGTCAAATAAGCACAAACTTCAGCATGCATTTGATCTAAACATGAAAACAAACTTTTTTCTTCAATAATTTATTTTTTATTTCAAACTAACTCTTGTAGTGCAGTCTAATATTTTTGAGTACAATTTCAATTGAAATGTGTTCACAGTTTAGATATGAAACATTGGATTCTCAAAAAAAAAAGCTTTATTTTTCTTCTTTTCAACTAACAATCTATTGTAACCTTTTATGATCAAGTTCTATAACATTTTTTTGTAACTATTTCGAACTTCTACAATTAGCTTTCTCTTATATACATGAAAAAGTAGGATTGACGATTATAGATAAAAATATGACTACTGATTTATATTGACGTGGAGTTTAAAAATTTAAAAATATTTCCTCTTTTGAACTACTTCTAGTTCTCTGCCAGAGTACAGCCGGCAGATTCAAGCTTTTACTACAACTGGATAACCCACAATGATAGAACCAATTTTTTCCGTACATTGATCCGATCATTTTCGATAGAAGTACTTCAAAAGAGAAGATATCCTTAATAGAAAGGAAAACTTTTTTTTCTACTCAATACTCACGTTGTAATTTAGCCCGTGTATCATAATTAACATTGTCTGGAATACATTGATTCATAAGTGACTAAAAATTATCGATATAGAACAAATAAAAATTTCTTTTAAAAAAATCTGTCACTTACAGTACAATAAGTTCGTAAAGCGGAAAGTTGTTGTTGATTAATAATTTTTCTTGGTTTTCGTTTTGTTCCTCGAGATTCACGTGTTAATGGATTTAAAGATTTTAAAGATTTTTTTCTTCGTTTTAAAACATCACATCGAAAAATCGAACAATAATCTGATAGACATATTGATTGTTCACTCTTTAAAAAAAATTAATTTTATTTTCATAATACAAAAAACAAAAACTAAAAGAAAACCTTCTTACTTTTAATAATGTATCATTGTGTCGATTACCGAAATGTATATCAAGATAATATTCTGAATAGAATGTTTTATTACAATATTTACATAACCATTTATCATTTGATATTTTTATTTTATTTAACTCTTGTCGATAAAAAATATCACGTATCGGTGAAAAAACACATTCAAGTGGAATAGCAATATGGTTTTTTTCATAAATCGGACCAAGTGCCTATACGATTTTAAAAAAATCAAATTTATATCGATTGAAAATTAAATTACTCGTGTAAAATAATCACGAACAACGCGACTGCCTTCACGTGAGCATGGTTTATTACAAAGAATGAACGAGAACTGAAAAAACAAAAGATTTTAAAGATCAATAAAAGAATTAATCATACAAAAATTTTAACATACAAGATCCCAAATAAGGATGAATAAAATATAAATATTCATCGTATCAGCATTATATCTAAAACACATAATATTGTCGTTTTCAGTTTTATTAATCTCATGAGCATAAGTCTATAGGATATTTGCTTAAAAAAGTTTGTGTACACAATAACATAAAATATGTATATCACATCTAACATAATTGAGAATAATACAAAAAAACATAGTCAGATCTTTTGTTCGATTTTTATCACAAATAAAAAAAAGTGATTGTTGACCAATTAATATATTGACATTTGTCTTAGACGGGTTTCATCTGTGACAAAGACGAATAAGCTAAAAAAATAAAATTTATCAATTAGGTTCAACGTTACAAATGTTCATTTAGATAAAGTCAATAAATCTTAAATTTAAAATAAAATCTAACATGCTACTCTAGTGTTTCTCGTGAGAACAAAAAACCATCCTTTTTCTTTTAGTTATAGAAATGTTGCACCAACTTTTCAGAATTTGTTATTATTCCTTGTGTATCAAAAGGTGAATTTGTAGACTGCTGATTTTGTTCTTCGCAATCAATATGATTCATACTTGTTGCTGATTTTTTGTGTTTAGCTGTATATTCAAAATAGCTAAACATTGTGCCAGCTAATAATGATAATGCAATACCAATAATTGTATTGATATTTATTGAAAATCGATCAAATACAAACAAACCAAAAAATACTTGTAGTATACTCTTAAGGACACCAACCACACTAAATAAGGGAAAAGGAGTTTTTCATTTCTTTTATCAATCATTCGTTTCAATAAAAACCTGGTAGTTAATGCGGAGTTTCTCATTATACACCAAAATGTTGTACCATTAAGTAAACCTCCACCTAATGTTGATGATAGGAAATATAACCAGAAAGAAAATGTTTTATAACCATTATATGATAGTACACTAGATAATTCATTGGAAAATGTAATCATTACAATAAATACTATTGGCAATGATATTAGACTATTAATGTAAAGAACTTCAGAAGATGTTTTTTGTTCACTACATCGTTGTACTGTTAAAAGATAGAGTGATTGAAATATAACACTAAGACTTCCAATTATATATGATTCCATATGAAAAGTTAAATCACTAATTGATGTTATTACAGCACCAGATGTTATGGCTAATACGCATAATCCAGTTTTAAAATCCAGTTTTTTCTTTTTTAATATAATAGATTGTAAGAGAAACGTAAATGCTGGTGTACAACGCTATAATATAAAAATATAAATATTTAATTGCATAATGATCATTGGAGAAATATACTTTAGGCCTACGTGTATATATGATTTTACTAGTCAGTTTTTTAATATACATGCTTCTTACAATCTTCTGAATCTAAATATTGAGGTTTTAAGAAAATTGAATTTTTCATAGTCATTTATAAACACTCAAACTGATGAACATTTTAATAAAGAGCGCATAATCTTTCTCTGACACTTCATAGATGTAAACCCTTTTATCATTCTCATAAAGACATATTTAAAATCAAACAATATTTGTAATCTACCGTCATTCAACAATATCTGGTCATAATTTTTACGAACAAGACTCAATAGTTTGTTGTCAACATTCTTCTTTCAATAAAGTATACTTGCAATTATGAAAATTAACTAACCTTAATCACAACATAAATAGCAACATTAAGTTTCATAAGTGCTTGTAAAGATAATATGGTACTTAAACTATAGAAAATGGACGGAACAAGGAATGTATAAAAATCATTTTGTGTCATCACTGGTACTGGCATGAACTGAATATAGCCAAGTATTTGGAATGATAAAATTACAAATAAAAGTTGAACAAAAACAACAAATAGACTATTTTGAAAATCGCTTATTTCAAAAAGAGCTTTATTAAGAAATGCCATAGAAAAAGATAAAAAGCCATAAGTGAGCATTGATGGAAGATGTAACATTCTTGGCTTTTTTTGTATCTTAAAGAGAAAAATGAAAGGAAAGAGTTTAACATAAGTTTCGTTTTTTTTCTGCTTTTTCTTTCAATTAAATTTCCATTTAATTGCTGTCGTTTATTACATAAGTTATTTTTTTTTTTTACAAAATTTATTTAAAGCACTACTGTTTTCTTATGTTAAATGAATATAAAAGTTTAATTGTTGAATAACTGAAAAATAATACAAAAAAAAAACAACATAATAATAATAATAATAAAATATCATCGAAGTAATACTTGTCCGAACCAGTCGGCATCGATTACTCCAATCGAACTATTGACATAATTCACTTAATCACTAAATAAACAAGCATCGAATGATAACCAGAAAATAAAATGAAAATGATTTTCGCTATTGAATTTCTCTTTCTTATTCTTATTTTTTCTTCGAACCTTTTTTATATCTCGCAGATAAGCACTGGCTATAGACCAATGTTGATCTAGCAAGACAAAAAAAAGAAATAAATGATAATAATAATAATAATAATAATACAACAAAAAAATTTCAAATATCTTGCCTCCTCCTTTATTTCCAAGTTAAATAAAACTTAATCCATAATTAAATTTTCTTTATTATTTGATAGAAATATAAATCCAAAAGTTTTCTTTTATCATACATGTCGAAATCAATGAAGATGTTCATATGTTTTAATCCCTCTTTAGTTATTTCTATGGCGTCATTGTCCATGAATCCTTAAAGTAGAAGAAGAATAAGATAAACAAATATGAAACAAACACAGGAAAAAAAAGAAAATGAAACAAAATCTCTGCTTTGTTGTGCTAATAAATATTACACACAACGAAAACCATAATATATATATATATATTTTTTTTTTTTTTGTTTAATATAATTGTACAAGATGAAGAAGAAAAAATGAACGAAAAGAGAAATTATAATAAATGATGATTTTCCTTATTAGTTTTTTTCTTTGGACGGTTATAATAGAAAAAGAAAATCCTACATTCTTTTTTTCTTTTCTTTTATATTATTTCTTTCACTGTCGTTCTTGAATAAATGGATGTTCAAATGATTGTTTTATATTTAAACGTTTTTGTGGATCAAATATAAGTATTTTATCTAATAAATCTCGAAGTTGTAAAACTTTTTTCATTTGATCTTCTGGTAAACGTTGATGACCAACTAATAGTGATAATAAATCACGACATGGATTGATATTTGTTACTGTTGTTATTTTATCCTTAAAAAAAAAATAAATAAATTTACAAAATACATAAATAATCTTAACGTACTCGTTCTGTTACTTTATCAATTTCATGATAAAGAAAATTACAATCACGATCAAAATGTTTATCTTTTAACATTCCTTTTCGTATAATTCGATTTGGAATTTTTCCTTTAAGATCCATCATTAATTTTAACATTTCATTATTAGATTTACCCGGAAACATAACTCGACCAGTATATAATTCATAGATAGTTACAGCAACTGACCAAAGATCAATTGAAAAATCATATTGCATACCAAGAACTATGAAGAAAAAAAATAATAATTTCAAATATTTTTTGTTTTCTTTTTTATTTACTTACTAATTTCTGGTGCACGATAAAATCGACTAACTAAATATGGTGTTATTTCACAATCGGATGCTAATGATGCTGAACCAAAATCACATAATTTTAAATATAATTTTGTTTCATTAACTAAGATATTATCAGGTTTAATATCTGCATGTAAAATATTACATTTTTTTAAATGTTTAAGAGCTAACATTAATTGTTGAGTATAGGAACGAACAGCTTTTATACTTAAACCAATATCTTTACCATATTTTTTAAGTACTTCACGTAAATTCATACTAGAAAAGAAAATTAAAATTGATTTATTGATTTTGTTTTTGTTTTTTACTCGTCTTACCTAAGTGGTTCAAATACAAGACATAAATGATTTCGATGTGTAAAATGATGTAATAATCGTAAACAATGATAACGATCATCAGAATCATGCTCATTTAATTTACGTAAGAATTCTAATTCTTTCCAACCAGTTTTATTCCTAAAAACAAAAATCATTTAAAAGATTTTCTTATCAAAAAACAAAAATATTCGATATTACATAGAACAATCATTGTTTATATGCAACTGACTTTATGATCTTGTATAATTTCATAAACATGAAAAAAGAAAGTATTCGTATCGAAGATAGTATATCATTAATTAGTAATGATGTATTTATGAAAGATGACTATAGTCCAATGAACTGAGCGTACAATGTTGAGTATACTTTTCCATAATGTTTTTATTGTAGTACAAGTCATAATCTGTTAAGGAATGGGAGCATACAACATTTAAAAATGTATTTATAGAATGATACAGAAAAAACAAAGGTAACACACGTACTGTCAGAATGCAGTTCATTCTATAAGGCAAATAAAAGTAACTGATGAGAGATTCGTTAGACAACCTTACGCTGCTCTGTGTTATTGTACATACATGAACACGTCGCACGCCTCTTTCATGTTTTTCTATGATATTCTAAATTATGAAATGACTAAGAGTACGAGATCGCCTTGCGGATCTCCGGTTTAATATTACCTCGAATATGTTTATTCTCATTACCATATGAAAAACTTGTAATGTATGTTGTCTCATGTGTTGCTTGGGAGACGGTGTACATTACTAATCAGTAAACTTTATATATGTCATTGAGAGAAAAAAGAAAACATAACATAAAGTGATTTCGGAATATATTAATACATTTTATCGCGCGTACGTTAAATATGGTACTTTAAATGAAATTGAATCTACCAATGAAAATCTAGTTTTAATCAGGCGTATAAATCACAACAATTGTTTACATTTGAATTGAAAGAAAATTTTAAAATATACATTATAGATACAGAATGAATAGAGAATTACAATGATAGATATATAATAAGGCGAAGGATACATTTAAGCTAAACGAAAATGAGTAAATAGACAAGATCAAGTTTGTACTTGCACATTTAGTTCAGTGAACTATAGTAGACAAGTGGTACGAGCTTATGTTGATTTCAATGACAAAAGCAAATGAAATCTGATGTCATTATCAGTAAAATGACCTAACTGTTTTACGTTTAACGATTTAATAGCTAATATTCTTCTTGTTAGATACTCAAATAAATATGCATAAGATCACATATTTTACTTTTGATGCTCAATAGAGAAACAAAATTTTTATAACTAACTCACATTAAGTTACTAAGTGTAACAATAGTATAGAATAAGGAACATATTTCATTATTAGTATACACCATCATAACAGTTTCTATTCGATTCGAATCTTTACCAACAATATTTCAATAGGAGTACGGGTACATAACCTGTAGGTCGCATTGCTGTTATACATTGCTGATAGTCTAACAGAACGGTCAATCAACTATGTGACTATTGAACATGAAATTTGTGTCTCCACAAATCGTTACTTTTCATACTCGTACCTGATATTTCTATCAATTTTTTTACCAGAAAACATAATAACGATGCTCTTATTCAAACACTTAGTGCAGTTTTTTTTAACTTAATTTTAATGATAGGTTGTAGATTTATCTGTGTTATGATACACAAAGAGAAAAAAAAAAAGAACTGAAATATAGAATTTCAATATTTTTAATTTTAGATAAGTTATCATTTGTTAGAATAGAATTTCATTGAATACTTACATAAGTTCATTATTACGAATGATTTTAATAGCAACTTCTGTACTCTTTCCATTTGATTCTTCTCGTGCGCGAACCACATTTGAAAAAACACCTTGACCAGTAAATCCAAAAATTTCAAAACGATTATTTAATATTTCTCCAATATGTACACCTAAACAGAAAAATCATCTTTTATGTTCGAAATAAAAAAAAACAAATAAACAATACTTACGATAATATCCTTCTGAATCATCCCAATTATCATTTAAATGTGGATTTTCACTTTCTTTTACCTGACCTTTACGACGCCATGCACCGGGACTCTAAAAAAAATCGAAGAAAAAGAAAAGAAATGTGTTCGTTTTCTAATTTTTTTTTAATATTTACATTTGTATCTAGAAAATCATCATCAGCAGCAAACATATCATAATTACTTGCAACAGCTTTTCGCCTTTCTAATTCTTCATTTCGTAATTGATTTGTAATCGATGGAGAATTCGCATCTTTACCTGATATTGGTTCATCTATAAACAAAAAAAAAAGTCAAATAGAATTTATTTCAACATGCAAGAAAGCATTTACCATCTACTGTTGCATTCCGTTTATCTTGTGCTACTTTTTCAAAATCAATAGTTTCTTTTTCAATACAATGATTAAGATATGCTGCTTGTTCATCTTCATCATCATTATTTGTGTGTGTTACTATTGATGGTGGTGGTGTTGGAGTTGCTTCTTGTTGTTGACCTTGCATTGCATCACTATCCATTGAGGAATCATCAATGAGATTTTTTTCAATTAATTTCTATACAAAGAAAAAAGAAATTAAGTTTGAAATATCAAAAACTAAGTTTTTTTTGCCGTTTTACTTGTTTTAACTGTTCACGTCGAAGTCGTTGACGACGAATTATTTCTTCTTCAGTTTCTTCATCAGGAATTTCAATATCATTTCTATGAAAAAAATAAATAAATATATGTAAACAAAATCATTGGTTAGTGATGTAACTTCGCAAAAAGTAAAACACGTATGTGTGAACAAGTCTAAATACTTCTGAAGCTGGAAAATCTATGTCTAAAGTTTTTTTTTCTGAGCATGTTATTGCTTTCAAAAGAATTAATTTACTTTTCGTTAGCGGCATGATGGAGTCAGTATATACAAATACTGTGTCAGAATCTCTAGAGAACAGATTTTAAGAGACAACTTTTTAGAGTTCGATCTTCCTGAAAACTTCATTCGAGATGCAATTCGTGCCATAGAGTCTATCCTGAAGTTTTGGTTCTAGAGATACTCGTTCATTCCTTTCCTACTTATAACCAACATATTTACATATGTCTGTCGTTAAAACACAACTGATTCAGATGAAAGTATGTCCTATTTTGCCTGAAATGACTCTTATATGAATATTAAAATTTTAAATACTTACTCATCTTCATCACTTGATTTTGCTTTATTATCATGATTTTTATGTTGATTTGATCGTTTTGAATCATTATTATGCCTTCAAAAAAAAAAATTTCTAATAAATTTTATTGATACATTTTAATTTTATTTACTTATTCGATGAATCTGAATCAATAAGAATAAATTCTTTTGAACTTTCACCGAATTGTATAACATCATTTTCTTCTAATTTATAATAACGATTACTATCAATACGACGTCGATTAATATATGTTCCATGTGATGATCCTAAATCGATTAGATATGGATAAATATGACGACCATGAGAATCACCACGAAGACGATATTGTAAAACAGCGTGAATGTTTGAACATGATGGATGATGTAAACGTATATCACATTGATCTTTATCACGTCCAAATATATATTTTGATTGACGATAAACACGATATGTTGGTAAATCTTCACCATCTTTAGAAACTGATATACGCCAATGACGTTCAGGTATACGAGCTTCTGATGGTTCTTTATAAAATGATTTTATTTCACTTCGTCCATTTCGTGATGGTGGTCCACGATTAGGATTATCGTCATCATCTGAATGCGAAGTTTCTATATAAAATAAGAATATTAATTCAATTATAAATATTTTATTTTGTTCTATATGTTTGTTAATAATTTTCAAAATATCTCGAAAAGAAATGAAACTCTCTAAATTCGACTATATACATCTACTTAAGATTTGAAGACTCTTAAACTGACGAGAAAACACGTCCAACTGTTCTATCACTTTTCGCTTGAGACTATCAACATTCGACGGATCGATCATGATGAGTAAAACAAAAATTATAAGAGTAAGGTAATTGGGTAGAACGAATATTCACGGTCACTGTAACCGGAAAAATAGTAATATCAACAAAATAACATTTTTCGTTTGTTTATCTCTAATATCTGATTTTCTGTTATTTGGCATAGGTTATTTTCGTCAAATACTAAAAATCAGCAACTAGAAATTAAGTAAAAACAGATAATAGTTTTGTGACGATTTCTGTGTTTCAATAGAAGGACGTTTCTATGAGAAGCTGATATGTTTAAGTGGATACGTTTGTTCTTGTTCAAAATTCTATCATTGAAGTTTTCAGCAATTATATGCTCTCGTGGAGAAAATCAAGTAAAACACCTATAATTTGATATGTGAAGACCAAAAAATCAAATTAAAACAGACTTATTCTCAAATCATTATCATCGATCGAATGGTAATAGTCTCAAGCGATTGGACACTTACAAACAAACTTTTGTGAGCATTCAAAGAGAATACTAAAATCAAAATTGATCATCGACGAATAACAATAAAAATATTTCAAACTGAACATTACCAAGCCTGTCACATCGAACTTTAAATACATCATCTGGTCAGTTTTGTGTATTCTTTTATTTTGTATGAGACAACTTAACGATTTACCAGAGTGAATAATTTTTCTCAATAATAATTTTAGATTAATCATAAGAACAAACTTTCTCTTCATTGAAAAATAAAAAAAAACTCGAAATCAACTTACCAGAATGTTTTATACTTTTATAATTACGTGATGATTTTCTTTCATCATCAGATGGTGAATAATCATATTTCTTCTTTCGTTTATTTGCTTCTTGTCTTGGTGATCGAGGCATTGTATCTGAAAAACAAAACAAATCCAATTTAATTCTTAATTCTATTCAATTGTTGTTTTTTTTTTGTTTTTTAAGTTATTATTTCAAAGAGGAAAAATTAAAAAGGAAAAGCTTTTTAATTTTCATATATACAACATACGATTAAACTGTCTATTTGATCATCGTTGTTTGTATAGTACAACATAGGAAAAATAATTATCCATGTAATATCATTTTAAGTGATATGATTTGTTGAAGAAAAACGATTCATCTAGAAAAAAAAAGGAAAACAAAAGATAACAAAACACAAACTGTTTATGATAAATGAAGAATGTAAACTATATAAAAATGAAATATTTCAACATAAACTATTTGGTTTTGTCATCTTTATCTGATGAATCATCGGATGTTGATGATATTGTTTCATCATTAAATGGGGATAATATAGATAAAAGCATAGCTTGAGCTTTTTCTTTTTGTCTTAATGCACGTTTCGCTTCTTTAGCTTTTTGTGTTTCTTCTTTTTCATGATCCATTGCATGTAATTCACTTTGTAATTGTTTTAATTCAACATCAGGTACATAACGAAATTCATCATCAGCTATATTAGGTACATCGATTTTAAGTTCAACACCTTCAGGAATATTTAAACGTATACATTCAAATAAAATTGGTGCAATCGTTGCTTTTACTTTAGCTAACTAAATTTAAAAATATGTTTTTTATTGTTTTGCAAGTTATTTCATTTAATTTATTTTTTACTTTTAGTATACGATGATATAAATTTAAATGATGTTCAACATCAATTTGTGTACTACGTGGTTTAAGGATTGTGACACGAGATGATTTAGCTGGAATAGCAACGCTAATCAAATATAAATATGTATATAATAGAAAATAAATAAGAATAATGATTACATACGCTTCAGGTACTTTAATATCAAGTGATTTAGCTAATTTTTGTATATATCGAAAATAACCTTCGAGTACAACATAATCATAACCTCGTATAGATACCGCCAGTAATGGATAATTGGGATAGAGATCAGTTTCGAATAGATAGGGTGGTTCATAAATAATACCTCGATTTACTATTGGATCAGGAATAACACAAACAGTTTGAGTATTTTCATTGTTTGATTGAATACGTTGAGCAACATTATTTGATCTAAATATATTTCATCAATAATATGGATATGAAAATATTAAAGTAACTTACCTAGCAAAACGTACAGATCGATAAGTATGTGAAGATAAAAGAGGTACTAGTCGTGATAATATTGTATTCATTGATTTAGTTATATGGTAATTAAGCAACTAGGAATTGATCAATTCTAAATGCAATGTCTGTTTTAAAGAATAAATAAATAAACAAACATTTCAGCAACCAATAACAACATTCGATTGTTCTAGAACGGATCACAGCAGAAAAATAAAAATAAAAAGAGGTCGCTAAAAATGACTACGCCATATTCTGGTAACGATGCTATTAATAGAAGTTGACCATTCATTGATCAAGTTGGCCTACGTCATTTTTTGACAGAATCATATATCATACATATGTCAAGTCGAAAACAAAAAGATCTTGTTCAATAAAAATCATTTTTCTATTAAGTAATACAAAAATAATTAAGATACTTATATAAAAAAAATCTATTTGAAAGAAGTATTCAGACAAGTACATAATAACTTAATTGAAATATTTATATACTACTGATGATATCATGCTTTTGTTAATGCTTATTATATAGTCTCCATAAATTGGCGTAAACAGAAATGTGTAGTATTTTTTTTCTTGTGTTAATAAATATCTAGTCAAAGACTATATCTTCGGTTCTAAACCTAACTTTGTGATATTCGTTTCGCAATTTTTTTCCATGTTTTCTTATATAGATGATTTGAAGTTTTAACAGCAAAAACTACTCAGGTCAAACAATTAGACGGTGAAATCTTACACAGATTCTTATAAGATCAGAGGAGAAATCTTACACTCTGATAAACTTTAATCAACACATAATATACAATGTTTAAAAGACTAAATCCACTGTTTTTTTTTTTCTATGATCATAGAGCATCTTATCGTTAAAGTTCATTATATTCATTCATAGTTTTACGCTATTTCTTGCAAACCAGATCTATATTCTTTAGCAGTGATTAATGCGTACAGTCCAGTGTATTTTTTACACTCGATGCCAGTTTACAACATCACGAATGTGCTTATAAAATCAATATATTGACTTGTCTGATTGTAGAGCGCAATTTAACTATGTACCTATATCGTTAGATCTAAACTCTAATGTCTATTCTCTTCTAGCTATATCCTCTTGTGAATAAATTCTGATCTCTGTAACTTTTATGCCTCTATTTTAATTACTAAACCACTAGTCCTATACCTTAATAGTACATTGTTGAGAAGATGTTCGCATACCGTAGCATTTGTGAAGATATCAATATGCCCAAATTTCTTGTGACTGTACCCAGATGAATAATGTTTCATGTCTGCATTATCATAGCTAGATATCGTCAAATCCATACTTTGCAGTTGTCTCATACATGTTTACAGCGAGGTTGTGGTATTAATTTTGTTAGACTCATTGCTTGATTCATTGATGTTCATGTTTGATGACATAAATGTATCTAGTTTTACGGTTGCACCACCATGTTGTCTCTTGTTATGTGATTCTATCTAGTGGTACATTTCGATCTTTGAATCGATCCATACATATTGTTTAGAATTTAATTGATTTTGCCTATTGTTAAATGGCTGATTGATGAGTTACTTATGTTGCTACTATTACAATGAAAAGAGGATGTCGTTGGCTCAAAAATCTTCGATTCTGGTATAAATCAAGAGACATCGATGAACGTGCAGCTTGGAATACATATTAGTATCTGATTTGATATGATCAAAATGATGTTTTAAAAGCTATTCTCGTATAGTTTTGGCTTGACTCTTACAATAGAAATCATACTACGTCTTTCAAAAATGCATAAAGTACGGTCTTGATTGATTTGTTGATAACATTCTATACAACACCTAGTATGCATATGATTTGATGTCCAATGTCTTTGCCTAGATAGGATCTATTTGATTATACAGAAAATATAAGTTCGTGTTAAAACACAGTCATTCATTCTATGCATTGGTTATATCATTTTTTGTCATAATAACACAATTGTGTAAAACTTATTATTCATTTGAAGTTTTCAACTATTTCTTTACTGATATTGTGCAATGGCAATCTAATCTTCTTCTATTTTCATTTACAATTAGATAACTTTCTCATTAAAAAAAAAGATACTTTTAAAATACAACTACGTAAATGGAATAGAACCACTTTTGTTTTTGAATTTTCTACATAGACTCGGTTACTAATCTTTAATTAGTCATAGATATCTGTCTAAATTATTCGTAATAGTATGCACCTATAGTTTTAACATATTTGAATTGCATTCATCGTAGCATTGTCTATCATAGCGTTGTCACACAATATGATATTTATACGACCCATGTTCGTACCGATTCTTACCGTAAACGTCTGTATATGACGCAAAATATGAATAGTCGTAATCATGCTTCGGGATATCTGTATTGCAGTGAAATCTGAAAATGAGTATATCTAAATTAACAGTTAAATATTCTAACTTAATATCAGTCAATGTCATTGTATGAAACATGATATTTTATCAAAAACAAAGTCTAATAAAAAGAAGTTATGTGATTTATGAAATGAAAAATCGTAGATTTAATTTTATTCAACTTTTATTTTAATTTCTTAGTTGATTTAAAATGAAATATAATATATTTTTTCTTGCTTGAATACTACATCAAATATAAAAGAGAGTTCATATTAGAATATTGTTTTTTGATTTAGTTTTTGTAATTGCGTGGATTGAGAGCATCGAGAACTTGGTTGAGATCACCTTTTTTTGCTTTAATGAGTTCCGTAAGAACGCCATTCGAATCAACGAAACCCATTGAAGTCATCCGTTCAATACATTCATCAATTTTCTTTTGTTCTTGAGCTTGTTGATCGTCCGTTGTAGCAGTTGCTGTTGTTGCTGCTGTTGCCGATGAGGTTGGCGGTTGAAACATTGGAGCAAACATTGTATGAAGTTGCTCAAGTAAATTACCAAATGCCGGAGCATCAGCTGAAGCCGATGAAGCTCCAGTTGTTGGAGCAGCAGATGAAGCTTCTGATGACGGAGGAGCAGATGATTTAGGTTCAGCACTTGTATTGCTGCTTGCTGTTGCTTCTTCGGTTTTTTCCTTTGTTTCTGGTTGTTCCGTTGTTGTTTTTGTTTGTTGATTATCAACAAAATAATCACAATCAATACCAAAAGGTGAAAGAATTTCACGAAGAAATTGGCCAATATTTTCTAGAAGAGTACTTTGATCAACATGTTTATCAGCTTGTTCACCAGTTTTGAATCGATTAATTATTTCATTAACTTTTTCCGTACGTAAATATGCAGGTAAATGAGCTTCAACTAATTCAGCTAATTCTTTACCCTTGAATTGACCAAGAAAATTAGCCATATCAGCTGGCATTGGAAAACCAGCTGGACAACCTTGTTGTCTACGCATAAAATGATGCCAGAAACGAGCACCACCACCACCAAATCGACCACCATTGAACGATCCACGACCACAACGACGATGTCTACCAAAGAAATGTTGAAATGGACTTATTTTTATCATATTATGTTCAGGATGAAGGTTTTTATCCGAACATGCTTGACATAAATCATAATCCGGACATTCCGTACATCTAAAAAAAATATAAAGAAAAGTTAATATGATGAGAAAAAAACCTATTAATCAAAACTTACTTATAACGAATACCAACTACAGGACCTTGACAACCATCACAAGTAACACCAGGATGAACTGTTGCATTTGGACTTGTTTCTTCTGGTGTTTTAACTTTTGGTTTAACATAAATTTTAATTACACCACCAAGAGGAATATTAGTCAAAGCCGATCGTAATTCACTATCAGATGAAAATGTAATACGATCATTGTCTTCATCCACATATTGTAATGTAAATTGACCTTGAGGATAACTACTATTCAATTGAGAAATAGTTGTTTCCAATGTTCGATAAACATCATTGGTTGGTGATACATCAATCTATAAATAACTTATTAAGAGCCGTATTTATAATATTTTAAAAAACTTACAGAAAATCGACGGATTTCTGGTTGATTTTCAACGAGATCATTGTAATAAGCTTTAACAATAACTTGTTGTTGTGCAGACATGATGCTTGCTTTGCTTTACTTGAATTGAATGAACAACATTGCATTTTCTCGAGCTTTTTATACTATAATCACGGGGTAGATGAGTAATCATAAGAAAAATGTAGAAGAAAAGAGCGTTACATCAGAACGAAAGAGAACTAGTTGACGTGTCTCATACGTTACAGCAAAATAAGAATGAAAAAAGAACATTCACGTGCGTGTTATTCATTGTAAAAAGATGCCGAGTAATGCTGACAAGACAGTTTCAGTTTCTAGCTTGTAGTGACTAGCAAATATATGAATTAGTAAACGCTTTTCTTCTAGATTTTCATTGTCATGTGAAATAACATCTGCTTAAGATCATTCTAGAACATTCATGACTATTATATAATTCTGTTTTTTAAACAGAAACAAAAAATCCCAACAAATAAAATGTTAAGATAAACATATTTATTGATTGTTCTATCTTACTGTTGAGCTGACATGGACAAAAATAAATCAACTATATTGCTATATACATATATATAAACGACGCAATTGCGCACTTTTTCAAGGGAAACAAAATGAATCATTATGTCATATTGTATAAAATCTTCATGTTTTAGACTTCTAATAAAAGAAACTATTCTTCAAATTGAACAAATTGTTTCAGATTGCTTTTCTAGGTGCCAGAAAAAATACAGAATTAGAATCACATTGTTTCGAATGATTTTTCTACTTGACTTTGTAGATGGAGCTCGTTAAGGGGGACCCCCTCAGAAAACTATCTTCTAAACAGTTCAAGAGATTTCGATGAAAACTTCAGGAAATAAAAAAGCTAATGTAACTAGCATCTGATAAAAACTTGAACCAATCATTTTTGATAATTGAGGAGTTATACTCAATTTACTCATGAAAATGGGGCTTTTGGCACGGAACATTTTCTCGAGGCGTGGTAGCATGGAAAATATTGAAATTTGTTTCAAAATGAAGAAAAATTTTTTATTTATAAATTGTAGGAACAGTTTTTTGAAATTCATCTTTATTCAATAGTAGTGATCATTTTAAACCGAAAATCGAAAAAACTGCTTTGATCTCTTTCAAAGATTTTCAAATATCTGAACAACGGAGATATATTTTAGAAATCTGCACCAACAATTTCTACAAAAAAAGTCTCATCTTTTGAATAAAGAAAATATCAGCAGCGTACGTCAAACAGTGGACTGGAAAAATGTTCCGCAGTAATCAGTAAACGATAAAAAAAGTGAAGCTGAGAAAAACGAATAACAAGATTGCGAAGTAGTTGATGATGTTCCTGTGTAGAAAATTGGAGCATGTTATATATCATTGGAAAGTGTATAAAAAGGTCTTGGAGTTGATGATGTTTTCAAAAAAAAAATAAGCTAATTTCTAAATCCAAGTTTACTGTAGCGCCGTCTTTTCGAAAAATAACCTAATTTTGAAACTTCCTTCTCTGACTGCAACAGTTAGAACATGATTACTCGATACGTCGATGGTTTTATACTGCTGATAAAGAAGGTGGAACGATATTAATTACCGGTAACTGAGGAAAAAAAAATCAACACAACAGTCGATTTTCCACCATGACTTCCAATAGATGCCCCAGAATTTGGCAAAATATGTTCCATTCTTATATAATTTATACATATTCTGAAAGAGGACACTCAGGGCTACTAGAATATGTGTTTTTTCAAAAATCGAGTTTTTCAAGAAAAATCGACTTTCTAAGGGGGGTTCCCCCTTAAGCTACTACTGAAAATACCTCTTATTATGCTTTTTTGGTGCAGTTTTTAAGTTTACCTGACAGAGATGTCTATAATGTATATATAACTATGTCAAAGGTGGTATAAAGATTAACAATTTCTCATATGTATCGTTTATTTGCTTTCTGAAATGATTGTATTTTTATTTTTACAATGAAATTAAATGTTAAAAAAATAAATTTGAGAGAAATGAGATATAAAATAGCTTGGTAATAAATAACCTAAAACATACAGTCGATTCATTACTAGATTTTCAGGTCTACAAAGAGTAATCTTGGAAAAACATTAATTCATCATACGTATACAATTAAGCAATTTTTTGCGTCTATTCCTGAATACTTGATATACATGAGAGAATCGCATTCTTGTTGTACAATTATATTTTTGAAGTATTTTTCCTATAACTCCATTTCCTGCTGTCTGATTCCCGAAGTTTTTTGTTTGTTTTGTTCACTCATATGTGTCGCACTACCACAGAAAATATCGGTCCGATTGCTCAATAACTCGTCGAGATAGAGACGCAAAATATTAAAAATATAGGTTTTTTCAAAGAGTCACCGTACAAAAAATAGATTTCCTAAAGAAGAAAAGCAAAAAGCAAAAACAGTAATACCCTTGTTTTATTCAGCGTTTAACGAGCTATTCAAATACATGATTCGTTGATATAATTGTTATTTGTTTCTTGCTCGTCCAAGACCAAAACACTTTTACAAACACTTTTTCTCTTTTATGTAGAGTAACACAAAACCTTTCATAGCCGACGAAGGAACGCAGCTAGGAATCCAGGAACTCCTTCAAAGGAAAGAGCTCTTTTCAAGTAACCACATGGTCAAAAAAATTTTAAGTTTTCTCGATATTATTTTCGAGAAAAGTAAGCAAACTTTTTCAAAAATCGATTTTTCACTCACTTTGTAGAGTAACATTTTGAAAATTATTTTAGGTTTATCTCCAGATATATTGAACCGATCTCGCTGAAATTTGCACATAAGAGAGAGCATAAAAACTTGCACCTTTCATAAAAATTTCAGCGTGATTTAATCAATTCTTCCTAAAAAACTTTGCATTATACGACGAAATGTAGAGTAACATTTTTTTGTTTTTATGTAGAGAAACGCTTTTTACGAGTTTTTTGACATTGATTGACTTAAATAGACACTTGGCTATAGCCTCATGAATTACGATATTATAATGTTGATGAAAATTAAATAACCAATACTCGTTGTCTCTTAATTGATGACCCATTCATTCCAAGTTATTAGAATACCCGTGATGAGCAGAAAAAAAGCGTTGTGATAGAAATAAAAGGGAAACTTGTTAACATTGACACTATTGAAACTATCTTAATATATATGGATCCAGAGATATCTCAGCTTCCTGACATGTAGTAATTGGGAAAATTTCACCTTATACTAAGTAGACGATGCTGAATAATATGCACATCTTAAAATTCTGCTCAATACACTTTCATTTTTTTTGCCAATTGTACAACAAAAATGCGATTCTCTCACATATACGAAAAAAAAGTATATTTGCATTTCAGATAAGATCTTTCTTTTTTGTTGAGATAATTATTTGTTTTTATTAAAAGAGTACGTTAGTTTTAATTAGATTAAATCGGTTTTTATCATAATTGGGGGGGATTTTATGAAAATTTTGTACTTAATATGCTTATTAATAATTTAATTAGAGCAGTTGACTGAACAAATTTCAAAAATATTTTTCCTTTTTGTGTGGCGTTGTGAATTTCATCATGAAGTATGAATCAACATGATAAAACAGTGAAGAGGGCATAAAAAATTTGTGAAAAAAAAACTCTCTACATATCTCTGATATATGCATTATAACTTACATGTTGAGCAGTTTGTAGATTAGATAAATTAACTTTTAACAACTTGTCACAAAACATATGAAAAAGATTTTATCTATTATGAACCGATAAACTTGTCTACAAAAAAAATTATTATCTCAAATACAATGAAAAAAAAATGTCGCTTAACCTTGTATCTATGACGAATAGATATTGTTGCAAGTTTGAAAACCCAGCAGCAATCTGACTATATGCTTTAACTCATTATCAAACGATTTTGTATACCATCTCTCTCAAAATCATTTCGTCTATATTTGATTCTATTGTAGAAATAAAAATAGAATCCTTTCAGAAAGAAAAGAAACGGTCCGCATGAGAGTATGTCCATATTTGGATTAGTCATGAAATATATATTCCCCTGGCCAAAATAAACGGAACACTATATTTTTTCGATA